ATCCTCACTTTTTTGAAACGTGCTTATCTATCTATATCTATCTATCTATCTATCTATCTATCTATCTATCTATCTATCTATCTATCTATATATATATATATATATATATATATATATATATATATATATATATATATATATATATATATATATATATATATATAATTTATATTATTTTAAAGGAAATTTCTTCTTCGGTAAGTTGTTCACGCTTAAAACGTTACCAATTAATGGATTGCTATTACAGGTGTGGGTTGGAGGAGCTGAGTGTGTGATCCAGGATGTGCAAGACGAGACACTCACCTGTTTAACGCCGTCGCAAAGCGTTACTGGGCCTGCATCAGGTAAAAATATACATATATATACACAGATAGACATATACATGCATGCATATATATGCAGTATATATAGACATATATATATATATATATATATATATATATATATATATATATATATATATATATATATATATATATATATATATATATATATATATATATATATATATATATATATATATATATCATAATATATATATATATATATATATATATATATATATATATATATATATATATATATATATATATATATATATATATATATATATATATATATATATATATATATATATATATATACTATATAATATATATATATATATATATATATATATATATATATATATATATATATATAATATACATATACATATATATATATACATATATATAATATATATATATATATATATACATATACATATACATATACATACAAGCATACGTGCAACCTATTCATAGCAAGAGAGATAGCTGCTGATGAATAAACAGATAGGTAGGTTCCCGGCCTGGCAGCGGAGACCCCAGCCTCGGGTCAGGATGAAGGGGAAGAAGGAAGGAGAAGGAGAAAGGAAGGCGACGAGCGAGACAGGCGAGAACATTCATTTAAACGCCTGGTTTCTGCCGCACGCTCTCATCTCCGCCCATTTCCCTCCTTCAGGAGAGCGCGGCATCCTGTCGGAGACGTGGAGTGGCGTGTACGTCAGTGACTTGCGTGACGACAGCCTCTGGGCGCCCCTGGACTCCAGCCACAGCGGCTACAGCTCCTCCGTGATGCAGGACACGACGATCACCGTGGACGGCACCCAGAACCTGACGGGGAGAGTCTCCGGTAGGTTTCTTGCGGAATAAGCAACGGCGTTGTTGTCTGTGTGCCAAAGGTTATCATCATCATTGTCTTTTCTATAGGCAGTTTTATTATCTTTATTATTTTTGCTGTTAGTATTATTATTATTATCGTTATTTTTTTCTGTAAGCATCGTTATTATGATTTTTTCATTGAGCATTATTATCATTGTTTTTTTCTATATGCATTATCATTACCATCATTATTTCTATTATAATCAGCATTATCATTATTACCATCATCATTACTTCTGTTATCATTTCCATCATCATTTTTTCTATTACCATTATTGCCATCACCATCATCAATATTAATATTATCATTATTATCGTTACTGTTATCAATATCATCATCATCATTATCAGTATTTCCATTAACATTATAATTTTCATTGTTATTGTTTAAACATTATTACCATTACTATAGTTATCACTATTGGGTTACTATATACTTATATCACGTTGTACTTTATACTTTTGTCACTATTACAATCATGAATGCAATCAGTCATCATTAGGATGGTTTGTAATTTCCATCGTCAATATAATTTTTCACATATGCATATATATTTTTTTTATGTAAGTTTTATACACACTTTCTTCAATAAGGAGTCAAAACATTTTTTTCATAAATTCATATAAAAAACATACATGCTGAAAAAAACTAATAAACACAGACAAATAGATACACAGATAAATGGATACAAGCAAGCTCGAAATATATAGATCCGGATAAATATGTAAACAGACATATACAGATATGCAAATATCGAAAGAAATACACATAAACAGAATTATAACCATAGACATAATATAAACACAGATGCTTTTGTGATTTTCAGGCTATCTCCATGTTGCCCACGACGGTTTGTATTCTCTGTCCGTTGGCGACTTGGATGGCAATTCTGACTTCTTCGTTGCCGAAAATGGCAACCCCGACAACAAGGTAATGAAAGGGTTAATACTATTTGCATTCATATATATTTTGAGGCTGCGGTTTAGCTGTTGCCATAATTACCATCATTGTGTTATCAATAGTTTTGTTATCTATGTTACAACAACAACAACTACTACTACAACAATAACTATAACAAGAACAACTACTTATATATCATAATTATCATCCTTATGAAGCTTACCGCCACCCTTTCGGATATTTTCACTGGTTTATTCTAAACGATTCGAAAACCTGTTGCTCCCTAATAAGATCATCGATTGTCGTTCACATGAAAACCAGCTTCCTCGTTTCCGCAGACTTACGTGGGTCACTGGCAGCACATCACACTCGAGGCGGACACCCCGGCCTATTTTGAGCTCCGGTATCGCACCATGGGTAGGTAGCACGGCCTCGATGATCCAGTTCTACTCCTGAGACTCGTCTTAGTTCGGAAATAGGGTGGAACCTTTCGGGGATTTGAACACTTAAGTAGCACGAGTTTTCATGATTAAGTAGGAACAAAGGTGAGGGAAGGGGTGGGGTTCAGGATGATTCCTAAACGACCTTTGACCTTTGACCTCGCTCTCGACTCCGCAGCGAGTATGACCTTCCGCATCCGAATGGCCGACTTCAACGCCAAATTCACGTACGACCAGACGGCCATCGGTCACAACGAGCTCCAGCGTGTCAGGTTGGACCCCAAGGAGCAGTTCGAAGTGCAGAGGATTAGTTACTCAGGATCCCCAGGACAAGCTAGGATTTATCTGGCTGGATTTACCTCTGACCTTGTTGATATCACTGTGGATACAGAGGTACTTATAAAAGTTGCCATGTACTGTGGATATGAGTAACAACACTTTGGCAATGTCTATTCTTATTCGTGATTTGATTCTTGGGGTGATCGATACTCTTCCTGTATCACTATTATAAATCCCGGTAATCTTGCCTCCCTGCAGATTCGATCCGCGATTCTAGGCCTGACTGACCAGCAGTGCGACATCCAGGCGGACAGCCCGACCTACCTGTACCAGGTCGACTTCGAAATGGGCGAGGATGATCTTCTTGGCGTGAGAGGATCGACCGTAGTCGACTTCGCGAGCTACTGTGGAAAGTGAGTAGGCGATTTCGACTCTGAATTAAGGGCTTCTGAAGCTGCTTCTGAAAGATCATGTGAAATAGATAACGGATGAGTGAAATAGGAATGCCTTTGCTTAATAAGGAGGAAGGTGGCGAGCCCGGATGATAGAAGGTGTCATTTATTTCAGGAAATCCTACGTGTTGAATACAGACGACCCAAGGCTTTTCTACACCGACGAGGAGGATGAAATGGCGGACGTTAACACCTATCGCTATGTGAGATTAATGACTAATACTTTTTTTTGAAATATTATTCGAAGATCTTTCAACGTTGACTATAATTGCCCTTTCATAACTATTTTTCATATTTCGAGAAGTAAACACTGAATGGATAAGAAATCTCATAAATAGGAATGTAACTCGCCACGTTCTCTCTAGATGTGTTTCGCTATACGAGGCAACATTGAGACCACCATGAAGGTACAGTTCCGCTGGAAGGACAAAAATGGCAGGACGGGAAGAACCGACCAACTTACGGTTGATCACGGATTTGCTTCCACGGCTGACGCGTAGGTCTTTTATGAATTCACACGCACACACTTGCAGGCACACGAACACGCACACACACACACACACACACACACACACACACACACACACACACACACACACACACACACACACACACACACACACACACACGCACACACACACACACACATTTACACGGATACATATATGTATGTATTTATGTATTCACATTTTACTTTATATTTACACACATACATACATACATACTGACATACATGTCACTTCAAACAATTTGACGGACCACTTTCAAGGGAAATAAAAACAGCCTACATAAACGAATATATAAATATATTTTCCCAATGACCCGTTTATTTGTTTGTTCCCCATGTCACGTGACTCCTTTCTCCCAGGTGGGCTTACGGCTGCATTGACTTGATTGCGCTCGTTGAAAATTCGTGGATAAACAACGACCGCAATGCAGGAGATAAGCTGAAGGTCAGACACGTCCTGGCGCCGCGTCGATTAACTTACAGAGACAACGTATACGTCGACACCTTCGCCTTTTCCACAGAAAACATCAACGGTGAGGTGTAGTTGGATATTTCCGTCGGTTCAGATGCCATGTTACAAAGACACGATCTCAGAATACATGAATTTGAGCGTTGCCTCGTGGAATGCCATTTTGACACGTGACAATGTCCACAGTGATCCAGACCCGACCATCCGCCTTGAAGAACGCAGGAATCCTAGTGGACGACGTGGTTGTGACGGCGGTGGAGAATGAACCTGCTTTCGACGTGGAGTTCCAGACCGGCAACTGCGCTGGAAATTTCCCTCTGCTCGGCGTGACGGAGACCTCGGGTGAGTCGTTCGCTTCCGCTGCTCTAGAGATTCTCTTTGCGCCTCGGACTATTCCTGAGGCGACGCGAAAAACTGAAGGCGTTTAAGCAGAGAAAGTTCTTCCCAAAACTCGAGACTTTTTCTTGCTGTCTCAAGAACTCCGCTTAATAATTTCTCAAAGATATTATTTTCCACGGTTTCTGTTTCTGTAATTTCCATAATACTGTATTCAAGGAAGTTGAAATTACCTGATAACGAATGGAGATGATGGGAATAATTTTTTTTCTTATGAATCATAAATCATTATAAGACGAACAATTTGTCGCTTACTTTTAAACTCGTCTCTTTCAATCGAGAATATACCTATTATTCGAAATAGAGAATATTTCAATTGGACAAGTCTGAAAAGTTCTTGCAACATTCTT